CACCCACGGCCCCCGCCCTTGACCCAGGGCCACAGGGTTTCCCATCCACACAGGCTGCTTCGGCGTTGGTTCGCTGGAAAGGTAAGGAAGAGGATGAGAGGAAACCACAGGCGGTGTGACTAGAGGGTGTGAGTCACGGCGCACCAAAGGCGAGCGAGGGGACTTGGGAATGGAGTCAAGACTTGAGAGGCAGGCGCCTCAAATTAAGCTCAGTTACACCGGGCTTAAACGTTCTCGCCAAGGTGGGCGTTCCTCGGTCCACACAACAAGACACAGTGGGTAGCCACAGACCCGAGCGTCACACGTGAGGACAGGACATCATGGGGAAATAAAACAACACAAAAAGACGTTTCAGCATAATATGTTTGACTTGAGGTGAGACACTTAACTTCAGTTTCTCGGTTCCTGCATGTGTCAAATGGGAATTATTGCATGTCACATGAACAGCGTGATGTGCTACAAATTTGTGTGACCTTTTGAGAAATTATTCTGTGGATTTCAGTTTCACAATTAGGCAAAACTATACCACGTACTCCCCCCCCCAAATAAAACTGTTTTCTACCTGAGAAGTTACTATATTACAAAGTTTTGAAAAACCACTTCTGCTCCAAGTGTTACTAAATTTCTCTAACTTCTCCTTTCATTATAATTAATTCTCCTCCCAAAGAAAGGAACCCTACCTGGGATGCCAACATCAGGAGTTTTTAATTTGTGTGAGGAAACAATACATGGTTTACCCCATCCATTTGTTGGGGTATAAGTGACAGTCATACCCCTGCATAGTATAAAACTAGTAATGTTTTCTATTTTCTGTAAGTATATGAAGGGAAAATACTATATATGTACACACCAAGCAAATGTTATTAAACCAGTCTTTAGGGTGACCATAATCAAATCATTTATCAGAATGAGGTACAAGGGCTAGAAACACATGTGGACACAATTTGCATGATTTGTTGAAAAAAGAGAATTTTGTATACTTTTGTCTTGGTGGTACGTTTATTTAAACCAGTGGTATAATTTTAGCCATACTCATTTCATATAAAACTTCTGACATGACTAATGAAAAGTCTACAAAGGGCAAACCTTCAAATTGGTATTAGCTCTCCCTAAGATCATATTTCGGCAATCATATTTCCTACTTGACCATTGGTAATAACATTTTTCAGGACCGCTACAGTCAAAGAACATGGCCTATGTTGTTGTCAAAGTCTATAAACCATAAATCTTTTAGAATGTCTTGAGCTTCTTTTCGAGACAGATTTGCGTGTGTGTGTAAAGATTATGTATTCTCACCTCATGAGTCCAGTGTTCTAAAAGTACATCCTGGGTCTAGTGTCATGCTTGTGTTGGTGACATCTTTCGATTACTCACGTAGTACTTGCCATCTGCTTGACGCAATTCAGTTAGTGGGAGAGAGGAGTTAAAAGCTACTCCGATGGTGAGTTACTTGTCTCAACTTACAATTCTGTCAATTCTTGTTTTATATAGTCTGGGGCTGTGTCATAATGTGCAAACCCGTTTATAATTGTTCTGTCTGCCTGGTAAATTTGTCCTCATGTTGTGATTTTGCCTCTAGTAATGCTTTTGCCATGGTGTCTAAACAGCTCCCTTCAGACTTGTTTTTGCCTAGTATTTGCATACCTCTTTTCGTCCTATTACATTAAAACTTTCAAAGTCATTATGTTTCGGAATTATCTGAGGGCTCCAGTTACCATCTGGCTTCCCGTCAGCAGCTCGTGGCCTCTGAGCCCAAGGTGCTGTGTTCAATCTTAGTTGCGGGTGGGCGTAGCCACCATCCCATGCGGGAGTCAAACCGGCAACCTTGTTGTTAAGAGCACACTATCTATCCACTGAGCCATCCGGGTGGCAGCTCAGCTCAAGGTGCCAAGTTCAGTCTTAGTTGCAGGTGGGCATAGCCCACCATTGAACAGGCAATCTTGTTACACCAGCTGAGCCATCCTGCCACCTGTTGGCAGCTCAGCAACAGGTCAGCTCGGGCACAGTGTTACTGGCCCATGTGGGAATCGAACTGGCGGCTCTGTTTCTCAGAGCTCACACTCTTAAGCCAATTCTTAACCAACTAAGCCACTCAGCCAGCCCCTAAGTTTGACTCTTAACCTAATCTGATAATTACTGACTCTTAGCTCAAGCATTTAGACCAGCGGTTCTCAACCTGTGGGTCGCGACCCCTTTGGGGATCAAATGACCCTTTCACAGGGGTCGCTGGGTGCTCATATGTGGGCATATCTGCATGTGGACCTAGAGATGGATAGAGGAGCGGTGTCTCGGTTCCTAAGACCATCGAAAATATGTGTTTTCCGATGGTCTTAGGCGACCCCTGTGAACGGTTGAGAACTGCTGATTTAGACCATTGCATGTATTAGAGCTGCTGATACATTTGAGTTTATTTCTGCCATCTAATATTGTGCTTGCCGTTTGTTTTCTCCCAATCTGTGGTGTTTTTTCTTTCATCAGTGCCTTCGTTAGAATTGATTGATTGATTGATTTTTTTGATGCTTCTATTTCTTCCCCTTTGTAGTTCAGAAGTTATTTACTCTGTTCCTATTCATTTGGTGGTTATCCTAGAAATTTTAACAGGCAAATTTTAACCAATCAAACCCAGAGTTTATCAAAACATGAACGTTCTCCCAAACACAGGGGCCTTAAAAAACACCCTTCAAAACTGCAATACATATTAATGTTGTTTTATACAGTCAGCGTGTGTTTAGATTTACTCAGGAGTTTGCCACTTATTTTGCTCTTTTTTATTTTCATCACTGGACTCCCACCTACGATCACTCTCCTGCCTAAAATGTATGCTAGAGGCGCTGATATGTTCTCTCCCTTTTTGAGTGGGAATGCATATATTTTACTCTTTTTTGGAAAAATATTTCACTGATAAAGAATTCTAAGTAGACAGTTATTTCCTTCTGTATACTTTCAATATCATTACACTGTCTTCTAGCTTGCCTAGTTACAATTTGAATTTTGAAAGTACTCTTGAAATGTAACCTGTCTTTTCTATCTGTCAGCGTTAAGATTTTTCATTTGTCTTTAGTTTTCTGTAATATCTAAATGAAGATTTTCTTTTTTAAATTCATCCTTCTTGGCACTTTGGTTTTCTTAACTCTGAACTGGTGACATTCATCAGTTTTGGGAAATTCTGAACTCCATTCTTTCTCTTCTTTTTTTCTGGGACTCTGATTATACACATACGAGGTGTGATCACAAAATATGGTGAATGTTTTAAAAAAAATGATTACAGTAAAAGACACATTGCCATTAATGCCCCTCAAATACTCCCCTTCATATAGAATACACTTATCCCATCGTTCTTGCCACTTTCTGAAGCAGTTCTGGAAGCCTCTTTCATGAGTGTCTTTAGTTGCGCTGTTGTGGCTGCCTTGATGTCCTGAATCATTTTGACTTTGGGGAAGAGCCAGAAGTCGCACGGTGCCAGATCCGGTGAATAAGGTGGATGAGGACACACCGTACTTCTTTTATTTGACAGAAATTGCCATATCAGGAGTGACGTGTGACATGGGTCCTTTCCATTGTGATCAAGAAATAACGGTGAATGCTGCTGCCGAGTGCCATCCAACGGAAAGGCAGGGATCTCCAATATAGGAAGCAGCTCATCGAACCTTAGTAACAGTGTGTGACAAGTTTCACCTTGTGCGGTGTAGTCACTCGGGTGTGAACTATGGTTGAGAGAAGGTGTGTTGTAAAGTATGCCGTAAGTCATCCTCCATCATGACAATGCTCCGTGTCACACATCGCTTCTGGTATACGGCAAGTTCTCTTTGGTTATTTTTAAATCTACTTTTTCTTAACTCGTATCTTAAGTCTCTCCTTAATTTCGTAAAATATATTTAACATATATTTTAAATTCTATTTCTGACCATTCCAGTGTTGGAAACATTTGTGGGTCTGATTGTACTATCTGATTTTTTTTTCCTGCTGGCTCTTGCTTATGGTACCTTGTTATCTTCTTTGTTTGGTGATTTTTTTATTTTTTATATTATCTGATCCTTGGAGCTTTATCCATGGAAATTTAGTGAGCGCTCAAAGGAAGATGAGCTCTCTAGAAAGAATATTCATGTACTGTTGATAAATGTCTGGGGGACACTACCAATTCAGGACCCTTTCATGGTAAATTCTCACTTGAAATTTTTCAAACCACCCATGTGAGACCTGGCTTGTAGTTAGGAATCCCTGAGGAGGACTTTACCCCTTCAACTCCGTTCCAGTGTTTGAGACAGCCAATTTCCCTTGAATCCCTTTGGAATGCCAGGTTATGACGGGTTTCCTGTTGGACTTCCCACATTGGGAAGAGCCTCAAGCCCCATTAGGCCGTGATAACAGATGCTCAAGTTCATCCAGCTTAACAAACACCCTCAAGATGAAAGGTGGCTCTGGTGGCTACCTGTACTGGTTACCACCACCACCAAGTATTCCATACTTTCTTGACTGCTCTTGAATGCATTTAGTAATTTTTAAAATATTTAATGCTGAATTTTTAATTAATTTCAGTAAAAGTTTTGACTAGACATCATACTGCCTAGTTTTGATTATACTGTCATATAAAATGGACTAAAAACAACTTTTCCTCCACCTAATAATGTCCACCTTCCTCGGGCCATACCCAAATAAACCCTGACTTATGCATCCTATACATTAATGGTACAGGGAAATCCAAAACATTGGGAAGTCCTGCTTCCCAAAGTACAAGCACGATGATAACTATAAAGGTAACCCCTCCTGGTCCCCCAGCCCCTGTCCTTCATACATTGTATCCATGTGGAAATATGCCTCATACAGAAATGAAGAGTTACTGATACCCACGAGTACCTACTGAGCAGCTCCTTTGGCGTGTAGAAAGAGGAACGGTGTTTTTGAAATAATACTATTAATAAAGCCTCAAGTTCAGTATAACTTAATTAGACTCATGTGCCACGAACTTCACAAATTTATATGAAGATTTTTGAGTTCCAAACAACTTAGAAATTAGTTTTTAGATGCAACCCTCTCATGTAGTCAGCCTGTCCAAGTCAGGTGTTCCCCAGCATCTAACTCTGCATTGCCTCCTATTACTGTTCCTAGGTGAAATTTATGTTAGTATCACCACCTTCATTTATTATGAAAGAAAAATTCTCTATAGAAAGTTTTTAACAAGTCAAAGTTCTTGAAGTCCTTATAAAACCATCTTGAAAATATTTTAGCAGGAACTGCCTTTTCCTATCAACTGAGATAGTGTTGTTTAGAACATTCTCCAAGTGTATTATTATTTTTAAATTTAGTAGCAATATCATGAATTTGAATCTAAAGGTAAAATCTCCTTCAAAATGACATGTGAAGTGATCGTAAAATAGAGAAAAGGTAGGGCCGGCCGAGTGGCGCGTTGGTTAGCAGTTGGCTTGGGGCGCCAGCTCTGAGCAGCAGGGCCCCGGTTCAGATCCCACAAGAGGGCCAGTAACACTGCCCTCTGCAGCTAAGATGCTGAACAACAGCTCATCCTGGAGCTGGGCTGCCGTGAGTCGCCGGCAACGGCATAGGCTGCAGTGGGCCTGGCCAGCAGCGGGCGTGAGCTTTTGTGAGCTGCTGTGAGCCACTGTGAGCGGCCCTTGAATGGCTGGCAAGTGACTGCCTCACCCTGGAAGAGCGCAATGATAATATCAACATGGGCCAGTGAAGCAACGTCCTCCACAACTAGACTGCAGAACAAAAGGACAGCAACTTGTCTGTTCCCCTTCCCCAATTCCCCAACTCTGTTACCTCCCCCAATTCCCAATAAAACCTTAAAAAAAAAATAGAGAAAGGTAAAGGAGACTTGGGAGCAACATCCTTCCTGAAATTACGCTCTCACCCCTCACAGCCTATGAAGTGAGCATTCTATGTTAGTTTGAAAGCCAATTCCAAGGGAAAAGTAGTCTTCCAGTTTGGAGACAAAGGGGCTGAGATCATCCTTAACATCTTTATTACCAAATCTGAATATATCCAAATACTTATAAAATTCAAGGAGATGATATTTGTTTCTTTTGCTGCTAAACTTTTAGTGAAAAAGATAGTACAATTCTTGAAGACAGTAGAACTAAGATACCCTCTTTCCTTCCTTTTCAAAAAATGATTTGCTGAAAATTATAGAATCCAATGATCTTACCTCTGTTTAGCTTCTAGTTCACCTTTATCTTTGTTCCCCAATCGGCAAGACATCGGAAAACTTCAAACGGTTTTTGGAGTTAAGAAAAAAGATTTGAAGCAGAGTATCACCAACAGACTGTAATCAGAGAAGTCAGATTTTCTTCCCGGGCTCTGAGAAGTCTTGGTTGGGCTACCAGGAACAGGGCAGTGTTTGTATAACCCTGTGGCGCTGCCTGGGAAAGACTCTCCTAACCCCGCCCACCAGATGCTCCATGTAAATAAAGCATCTTCATTGTATGGCTGCTCCGCTCACACCCATTCAGTACTCTCAGGAGAATGAGTCCTCACTTCCAATAAGCAATGACATTAGAATTGTCTGGAAGGAAACATAAGAACATCTAATGTGACATTAATGGCCCAACTATTGGGTTGTCGGAAAAGTCATGATGCATTCTTTGCAACGAAAACCAGAAAAATTACGTCATGACTTTTCCGACAACCCAATACATCAGTAACCCCCCTAGGCAACCCTAATCCTGATATAAATAGAGAAATTATCAGAACAAATTCCTGTGTGCCAAGCTCTACTTTCTTAAAATACAAGAAAATAACTAGACAAAACATTACATGTACTTATATCTGATCAACTCTAGGGAGATAAAGAAAACTGCTACATGCCAGCGAGTCCAACTCCATCAAACACCAGGTCATTCCACAGCAGAAGGCCCTTGGAATGATAAACAGAGATCCAAAATATTTGGCCACTTCCCCCTTTCCTTACTACTGCAAATAAGGGGAAGATAAAAATAATAAATAAGGACTGAGAGTTCTCCTGGGCTTCCAAAGCATGGCCTTCATGTGATCTCTGCCGTCGTTCCTGGGGCCACAGACCCAAGAAGTCGGCCAGTGTCTGGTGAGACAGCCTCTATGATCTTCTCTGGGGAGGAAGGAACAGAATGGCAGCTCCATGAAAGTGACCCAGGTCTCAGTTTGGTGGGAATTTGCTTCCTTTGTGAAAAGGACTCAGTCTCGCCTGCCTGTCTTCACTCTCTGCGCACAGCTTCAGAGCCTCCTCCTGGTCTCGTGAGACTGCCCGTCAAAACAGCTGGGCTGGGCTGGGCTGGGAAGGAGGCCTTTGGATCCATGACTCAGCCTGACGGTTGGCCCGTGACCCCGGGGTGAATGGAACCCCTGCCTCAGTGTGGACTGGCTGCTCTTTGTGCCTCCTGCAGGGCCACTTCCTGGGTCCTCCCTTCCCTTCCCTCTGGGCTGGGCTGTGCATCAAGAACACAAGCCATGGTGTGTGCCCTGTGCATCCTAATTACACTCTGTTCTCACTGTCGGGACTCAAGAAAACAACCAAGAAGGTGCTACTAATTCCTGTTCTCTGGTGACATAAATGAGGCCACAGATCACCATACCCCCCATTTATTTCCTCCTGTGATTTTTAACACAAGCATGTACTTCCTCTTCAAATGAGCAGGTATGAATTCTTAAGTAATGCATGCATGAACTCATAAGGAGAGGCCACAGCTATAATAGAAGGAATGTTTTCAATCAAGTGGCCTTCTACTGAGCTACAACAACTCACTTCAGCAAGCCAGCTGCCCCAACGACTCCCAGGCCTACCCTTTGAGTCACTGGATCATTTCGTGCACATCCCAGAAAGACAAGCCTGACCACATTAGCATGTATCTTTTTTGTAGTTGTGATTTTGCCAAGTGCTTTCTGATCGTTTTTTATTAGCTAGGTCTCAATAGTCCTGTGAGGCGTGGATTCGTAGGTAAAACATACTGTATGTGGTGAAGCAGGAAGCCAGCTCTCCAGGGGCATTTTATTCCAAGAATGCCTGTGTGGAGGAATTCACTTTCTCCTGCTTGCCAGAGGCACCAGGAAATAGAAGATGCCTTGCAAAATACGACTGAGACATTTTTAAAACCCATTTTCTTCATAATGCATATGTATCTTGCCTCTCTCTCTCTCTCTCTCTCTCTCTCTCTCTCTCTCTCCTCTCTCTCCTCTCTCTCCTCTCTCTCCTCTCTCTTCTCTCTCCTCTCTCTCAACAAATGTGACCAAGAATCAAGCGGGTCTCTTTCAATTCAGAATTATTTATTATATGGCATCTCCTTCACTGATGTGTTTAAATATCCAAATTACAATAGTATTAAATATATCTGTAGTCATGCCTTTCTTTAAAAGTCCTTTGTACAAGCTGTACCATAAACAAAACCATTTGTATAACAAACAGAAAGACTTACATAAAACTAAAAGGCTTGCTGTTACTCCCTCATTTTATAGATAACGAAAGCTAAGCTGAAAGAAACTTTCTTAACGTAGTTAGTCCGTAGCTACACTGCATCTTTAAGGAAAGCCCTGGTCCAAAAATTGGATTTCCTGGTTCTCTAAGATGGAAAAGCAAAATAAAATTATATAAAATTATATAAAATATAATTATGAGCATTCATAAAAATTGAAAGTAGACATTATGCTTGCTTGTTTTTTATATTCATTTATTATATTTTCATGGTATGAGTCTCCATTTAATATACAATTTTTAACCCATTACATTAAAATTACATATTGGGGAAAAAACTATGTGGTAGGAATTTTTTTTAGGCAAGGTAGAGGCCTAGAGGGATGAAAAGAGGCCACTAGAGAAGCTGTCTGCATAGTCCGGGTACATATTAGGAGAAACAGATGCTAGAGACAGCCGCCCAGATAGATGTGAATCTGCAGGAATGTTATGATGGGCCCATTCACGCGAGCCCTGAACTGAACTGACGTCAGGTCTTCTCCTATGTGGGCTTTGGGCTTCCTGCCTCCGCAACAGGCTCTCTCCGGCTCCAGGCTGTGCCGCCTTCTGCACAGTTGCCGTTGTCCGGTCTCGATCTTGCCCCTTCCTTTGAGTGAACAAGGCCCCCAGAGATGCCGTGCGCTTGCTTTAAGCTATTTTGCCCCGTTTCTTTGCATGCCTTCACCTCTCCCCCAGGATTCTATGTGTCTTGACTCCCAAACAGACTTAGTTGGAGTACCTGCCACATATTCTCTAGGTGGTCATAGAGGCTAATGCCACTCTTTGGTGAAGTTCACCTTCTGTGACTAAACTAATATCATTTCTATCACTAGAGACCACCTTGTTCCTGCCCTCATGGAGCGTATAGTCTACTAGTCTAGTTCATGGGACCAACTATATATGTAAATAACATGTATAAATGATATGCATATATGCATGTAATATGCATACATACATATGTTACATATATAGATGCAATTTCTGATAGTAATGAGTGCTAAGAAGAAGACACAATGATGAGGCAGAGTGATGGGTAGAGGGTAGCTAGGGTAGACAAGGAGGCCTTCCTAAGGCGGAGACATTTGAACCGCAAGTGGAATGATGAGAAGCGTGCAGCTGAGTGAAGATCTGGGGAAGAGGCTTCCTGGCCTCGCGATCAGGCGAGGCACAGTCGCCGAGGCCAGAGGGTCAGAGTGGTTGGAGACAAGAGTCAGAGAGATAGGCAGGGTCCAGATTGTGACAGGGTTCCGCAAACATGGCGGACACTGGGCATTTAATTCTACTTGCTGGGAAGCTGCTGGAGGGACATAAGCATAGGCGCAAAGTAGGGTGTTAAGGAAGGACCTTCATGACGCTGCTGCTATAATCCAGGAGACGTGCTAATGCGCTGGGTTCTAGCTGCACTGGAAATGATAAGTCATATTTCAAATACATATACTATTAGCTTTTTGGCCATTTTTTGTGGGACAGAGGGAAGGACAAATATGAGGGTAAGGGGTGAGGAAGGAACAGAAAGTTCTGCTTTAGATGTGAAAAGGGAGAGATGGGGTGCCTGTTAGACAGCCCAGTGACGACGTGGCTCAAGGAGACCAGTTGGCGTCACACCCGCCCTATGAAGCTCAGCGATTACCGTCATGATATGCAGGCAGACAACTGAAGTGTGGGGGCTGTGCCTTCAGCCCCCCTGTCGACAGAGATGGCTGGCTCGCTGGGAGCCCAGCAATGGTCCCACTTTTCAGATTCAGGTTACCAGCTTCCTCATCTTCTCTGGGTTTCTTTGATGCTTCATTGCCCCAGAAGACCGTATGCGAAAGTGAAAAATAGCGTCCTGTTATTTTGGGAATATGCCCTGACAAGGGTAAAACAGATCGCAAGAAAAGCATGCATACGTTCAGCCAAGAGAAGAAGAGAGCTGTATCCTCGCGCTCACCAGGAAGGAATTAATGGAGATGAAATCTGGCCCCCTCACATTCTGTGACTTTGACTCAAGGGCCCGACAGGTGGAGCCTGGCAGCTTAATGAGGCCAGGACAGGATCTGTAGACTCGGTGGGGTGACTGGAAAGAGCCCCCAGCGTATCCTGACATCACACCTGGAGCCTTGCAAACAGGGCAGAAGCCCCGGCACCACAGTGGGTGCCCCTGGCTCCAGCCAGCTCCCCCTGCCCGGAGCCCAGAGCAGGTCATGCCCAGTCTCTGTTGACTCGCTCTGCCCTAGGCTGTCCATGTGCTAATTAATGTGTTAGGACTGAAGCTCCCTGGGCTGACATTCTCCATTTAGTTTGTTTGGCAAGCACAGAACCAAGTTTTAGTGGTCAGTGCACACACACACACACACACACACACACACACACACACAGTATTAAATGCTACCAAGTATTAATGCAGAGATGAGGCCCACGTCATCCACGACAGAGGGCAACCTCACTGTAGCTCTGTTCCCACCGTTTAGTGAAGGAATTCAAAGCCTAAAAATAAAACAACGATGCACTGTCCAAAAGTCTCTAATGACAAGTGTCACTTCCCAATCAGTGCCACATCCCATGATGCTACAGTGCCCCCTGGAAACCTCTCTCAGCAAAGGCCGTCACATGAATTCAGCTGTATCCCCCAAACTGAGTCAGCCTGGCATCTAGATACACACAAACCTGGCCCCTGTAAGGCCCCAGTTACTGGGCTCCCTAATTTCCTAGAACTGCCCAAATGAGTCAGCCAGGAAGTCTGAGGAGAAAGAACATGACAGAGAAAGGTAGGATGTCCATGAGACGGGGGAGTGGCAGTTTGCATGTAGTGTGCTGTGTGTCGCTCCTTCTGGTGACAGCTGTCAGTCACTCTGTGAGACCCTGGTGCTGAGATATGTGTGGGAAAACCCACAGAACACTTCTTATGAGGCAAGCATGTTAATGATTTATAGACTTAAAACAATTTTTTTCTGATTTTTCTTCTCTTTTAATAAAGTAATATAGTAAGGATCGGTCTCAACTGTGCCCCAGCCTAATTTTCAGTAATTCTCCCCTTTACTCCAAAAAGTGTCACAACTGTGTATGGTAAGATGTGTGGTCTTCTTGGGTATAGTTGCTTATGACTGAACAGAGAAAGAAAAAGGAGAGGAAAGCAAAAACCATGCCAAGAGTGTTTCTACATAGTCTGCACATTTTTTGTTTGTTTGCTTCGTTCTTATAATCACAGAGTGAGGCCAACTTCTCCCTCGCTTGCAGGTTGGACTCAGAAAGATAACTTCCCCAAAGTTACGCAAGTGGGACTCAAGCCCAGATGTTTCTGGACCCTGAGCCACCAAAGCACAGGCTTTTACTAGTTAGACTAAATAAGCAGAACTGAAGACATGAGTTCCCTAAACTCCTGACAGCTACCTGGCACTCTGAATCCCCAACCATTTTTTAGACAGAGCAGCACCCCAGCCACCCTCCGCGAGCTCCCTTAACCAAAGTGGCCTCAGCACGCCTGTTACTGGCACAGAAGTGAGGACTCCGATTGATTCCCCAACAAGAGTGCCACCTGGCACTGTCCTGAGGGCGCATTCCCCCCCCCCCCCCAGCAGCAGGAGCCTGCGCGCCCAGCCTGCTGCGTGCTGGGAGGGCTGCGCCTTCCTTGGCCTCTAGCCCAGGATGTAAGAGGCGGCAGCACCCTTTTCTTCCAGCTTTCATGCCTGTGTTCCTGCTTAGCCGGCCCATCTGGAAGACCCTTCACCCCTCCCACCCGTCCTCTGAGGCCCCGCTCAGGCCCTCCTCCTCCATAAAAGCTCCTTCCACGGGCTTTGGGCCACGGGTCGCTCCTTCGTGTTTCCACAGCGATGTTAGCCAACTCCCGACTGCTCTCGGCTATTCTTACGTATAATAATTGAAGCACTTCCAACTCTAAATACCTTCAGGGCAGGAGCTCTGAGACCTGCTTTTCGCATGTGAGTGTCCCTTCTGTAATATCCCACACAATTTGGGGGCCATATGGTATTCAGTAAGTGTGTGTTAATCGATTAATACAATGATGGGACCACCTCCAGGTAGAGAAGGGACGAATGATAAAGTGTCTGCTCTTGTCATTCTAGAAGCCTTCCGTCCGTGGATTTTACTCTTTTCAGAATGGGTGGATGTGAGACTTTATTGTTTCCATAAGATCTTGATAGAGAAAACACCTTTGGCTCAATATATAAAATTATGCTTGAAAGAATGAAAAAAGCTAAAAGAGGAAATGAAAAATAGAGCCGACATTAATACTGAGAATTTTTCTGTGGAAACGATTAAATGGCTTACAGTATGAGTGCTCAGTAAATTACCGTATTACTTTTAGAATTTGAGGATGCGGGGGGAGGGGAGGGGCTCCCTCAGCCAATGACAGATTTCCCCCCAGAGGTGTCAGAATCACTAGACTTGTCTGATAGAAGGTTCCGTACCTCCCAGACTTCTGCTCCTCTCCCCAGACCTGCTTACCACGTCATTCCTTCATCTGTGCAGCCGGGATTTTCCAGGGCTCATTTTCTCAGCTTCTAGGTATTTAAAGATTGCAGTGACTGAACGGCATAGACTCAGCATTTGTTTGTGGAGAACAGTCACATTCAATCTGGAAGCATGGTTTCCACCTGTGCAGAAGGCACCGAATGAGCTGTGACATTGTCCCACAGCTGGCCCGCTTGGCGCCACCCCAGTCGCACCTGCAATGTTCAGCCTGACGAGTGACTGGCAGCAGATGTGGCCAGTGCGGAAGTGGGCGCTAGTAACATGCTCTGTGCGAAGCGGTGGGGGCCTCAGCGGTGCCCTCTGGCTGACTGGCTCCTCTCAGGGGGTCCCTGGTGGGATTCCGTCTCCTGTCACATGGTCCTCTGGGCCTGCGGCACCTTCTCCCTCGCGGCTTCTCAGGACACACGAATTTCTGGGTAGAGTAGCTAAGCTTGGACAGTTCAGACTTCAATGAGCTCACTCAGTCCTCCCCTGAACTTTGACCAACGGCAGTTTGGGCTTTGATGTAGACAGTGCTTTGCTCTTTAGCCACAAAAGCACGTGCGCGCGTGTACACACACACACACACACACACACACACGCGCGCGCGCGCGCGCGCGCGCGCGCGGCCTACCTTTGTCTTGCTAACGAGCGTTGGGAAAGACCATTTGCTGTGTGGGATCTCCCCTTCCATTTGCACTTACATTGAGCCTATGCTCTCTCCGGGGCACAGCAGGGAGGTACCGTAACCACCGGCTCTCCCCAGGCACCTCCACTGCCAGGTCCATCAATTAACACGTTGCCTGCACACCTGTTACCTGCAGTGCTTGCTCTCTGCCTTCAAAACCCTTGCCCGCTGGGCAGCTTCTGTGTGACTGGTCCATGGAGTTTTATGTTCACACGTTGACAGGATGAATGCAGTCTCTTATTCCATCACCAGGCAAGTTAACCATGCAAATCCAGTGTACCAGATGCCTGCTGTATCCCCGCCAGTGCTGCTTTTCAAAAGCCACCCCTAAAAAAAGCAAGGTTTCCGTCAGTACCTGGACTCCCAATTTCCAGAGTGAAAATTACCAATTTGAATGCTAACTTTTTTGTCTCCTAAATGATTTGTTTGTTGTTAGAGTTTAACAGTCACCAAATATTTTTGTGGAAACTGTTTACAAATTAATACTTTAAAAAAAACAGTTATGATAATTGTACAGCCTAGAAAGGGAATATAAAATAGTTCTAAGGTGCATGCTAACTTTGGAAATTGATTTAAATAATCTGCGAGTCCATAAAAATGTTACCATGGAGCTCATTTAAGTGGCCTTGACCCTGACCTTTCCCTGGTCCTGTGCTTTCTCTCTCATGTCTCCCAAGCCTTTGCCTAAAGACCAATTCACAGATATCCGTATTTGCTTCATTATCATCATATCAAAAATCTCAGGTGACACAGCATTATTTGCGTGGATCAGTGTAGACTCTGCCTCCTCTCCCAGCCTGTGAGGCGGTGGGGAACATAGAAATCGGTGGAAAGCCTCCCTCGTTGGAACGTGACACGTCTTGGAGAGTGGAGACTTTTTCTTCTCTTAGTCGTGCCACATCCATCAGTGTAACACTTTGCAAAGTAACAAGTATTCAGTCGGTGCCAGCAAACCGGAAGCATGTCCATTTAGGTGTGAGGATGTGAAAGAGATGCTTTCAAAGATACTAAATTCACATACTGGCAGCTTGGATCCTTCAGCCCTGGGGACAGGGCCCACAGAAGCCAAGGCACTCCCCTTCCCACCCCGCAGGGCACAAGGTGTTTAAAGCTCCTCTGAGTTTCAATGTGATGCCTCCGGTTTGGAGTTCAGGTGTAGCCCCAGCTGTCTTCATCACTCAAACGCCAGAACTGGAGGGCATCCCGTGGTTAGGGCGGTGGGGCGTAGGTAGTGAGGGCAGGGTCACATAGACCTGGCGCCTTGAGAGGAGCAGTCGCGTCCGGTGGGAAAACAGGAGGAAGTCCTGCAAGGAGGAAGTCGGGAAGAAGTGCCCCGAGTTCACTCTCCTTCCTTCCTCGGATCTCCTGGTGCGGCCTTCAGGGTTTGATTCCAACGAAAAGCCAGGTGACGCAAAAGCTGAGTCCTCGTCGCCTGCCAGGCCCGTCCCCCAGGGCACACAGCAGAGTGGAGAAGTGGTCTTGAAACGCGACACAGGAGTTGGGTCAGAGAATACGCGTTTATTATCAGGGCACCAGCGGTCTGAGACGGCAGCGGGCTGACACCTTCAAAAACTGCCGTCACATTCTCCGACCGGCTTGGGGTATTTAAGGGGAGACCTGGGCGCTCCTCCAGAGGCCACGTGATGGTTGTGAGGAGGGAGGGTTCTGGGAGCCTTCCCCCGGCAACGTGGGTCACTGGTGGCGTCAGCAGCCCAGGAGCGATGATGGAAGTAGCCTGGAAAGAATGCCCGACCATACAGGTTGTGATCAATAAGCCTAAGGGTATTAGAAGGTAATTTTCTAAAACAGGGAACTGGGTGGGACGGGGGCATCCGGAGCTCCAGCCGTAGGGGACGGTCTGTTGTTAAGCTCTAGGTCAAGGAAAGGGGAGGCCTCTCTTCTGGGTCTCAACCAGACCCTGCTTCACGCTGAGGGAGCAAACGGGACATCCAGCTGTCGCCCATTTTGTATTTGTAAACAGAGTAAACCACCTCTTATTCTTTCGAAGTAGACATGTCATAAATCCTAAATTCATGCTACTGCGTGTTGATTTATCTTAAAACGGTCCTAGAACTTCACAGGTAAGGCGAGAGGGGGGAGGCTGTGACAGGGACAGAGGACGGAGGAGTAGAGAGTCCTCATCTAGTGGAGCAGGAGGTCGGTGGGTGAGCCCCCCACCCCCACCCCACCCCACGTGGGGTCCCCGAGTTGGACGTGTATTAGGGAATGTTCTTCAGGAGGGAGGGAGAGGAAGCGGGACTGGGCAGAAGTGGAGCTGTCCAGGAGGCTCGGAGAAGGCCTCAGCCACCCTTCGGGGAGCTCTGCAAAGGTGTTGGCCCCAAGTCGGGATCAGGGCGGGGGGTGCCGCTGGCCACTCACCCCCTGCGTCTGTGCCTCACTGGATGGGGGCCTCCTGGGGGAGGCTGTGGTCTTGGCATTTCTCTTCAGTAGACACAGTTCCTGAAGCGAGCTGACAACGAGGGTCGTCTGCCGCGGCTGGCCTATGGGCCAGCGGCCAAGTCCTCGTTCACAGTACCCACAGGGAGGAATATCAAAAATAGCAAAGCCCAGAAATGTCAGAGGAAGCCTAATTTCTAGAACTAGGGAAATATATAAGATAAAACAGCTGTAAAAGAGGTACTTAAGGGGATGGACAGAGGAAGTGGGAGGAATGGGGCAGGTACTGCTGTTTTTCATTATCAGGCTCGAAGTACTATGGGACTGAAATTAAAAACTTTTAAGGTCAAAGCTTTGGGTGGGGGGGTGTAGCTAAGTAGCCATTAAGATGTATATCACTCTCTCAGGAGCTCTGTCCCTAATCCCATTAGGAGGAGAGGTCACAATGCGGAAAGGTACCGAGGTGACATTTGGGAAGCGGGAAAGTGAGTAATTGAAACATTCTGCCTAACCCGAGAGCCTAATGGCAGGAGGCTGGGGTGAGGCTTTGCAGAGGAGAGGCGTTTGGAGAAAGTGACCGTCCTTCTCCCGGGGTTTAGGACGCTCTGCTCTGTCAGAACTAACATCTCCCTCGAGGTGGATTTCCTTTTGTGGGGCCCTTGCTCATACCCACAGGGGAGCCCTGAGGAGCATGGGGGTGCTCTTCTCCAGCTGGCCTCTGTGAGGGCCGGAGGGTCACAGCCCCCCTGGGTTGGCCCATGAGGTCATCCTGGGATGATAACAAACTCCAGAGAATTAGTGTAAGGTCAGGAGTCCTCAAAAAGCGGGTGGGTTTTTACACAGAATTTTAAAACAGGAAACCCTCTCTCTGGCAGGGGTCATGTGGACATTAAAGTCTTAAGTTAGGACCTGAGAGCATCCCCTTGGGGTCAACTTCTAAACTGGTCAACTTCTTTGGGGTTCGAACAGGGGAAATGGTGTTTGAACATTTGGTCCCTTGAACGTGGGAAGAAATGATACATAAGGAATAGATTTCAATTGTTTCCTTCCACGCTGTTATACTTTCATTTTCCCTGATGTTGTAGAACAGAAAGGGTCACCCACCCAGCGCCAGCAGAACCAGACACTGAACACGGAGAGTCGCAGTGGAGACATATCGGCTAGTTTATTATGAATGGCGCCGTGCAGAAGAATGGGAACTCAGTGCTCCAAAGCCTGAACTCCTCCGTGGCAGGTGGCATATGGCTTACAGATGCTAGGGCAAAGCCACAAGACACCGTGGGTTGGGGGTTCGGGCCGTGCTGGGAGCTGATGGGTCGGAGGTGAGGTAAGGGTGATGAATCATTTCTTCAGGTCCAGAGGACAGTCCGAGGTCTTTCCAGAGTCCCTCTGTCCAGCCTCATGGGAAAGTAGTCAGGGGGTGGTTCCACCCCAGGGCTCAGGAGCTGATGCCTGACTTGGGTCAAGGTGTTCTCTTTATCCTGCTGGGGGTCTCACCGTGTAACCATTAGTCAGGTCCGGGCTACTGTGTTCTGGCTGATTATATAGGGGGAAAGGCTAGGTGTCTGAGGGATATATATACACATATGTGTGTGTGTGTGTGTGTGTTTGTGTGTAGGGAGGGAGGGTGAGAGCGTGTACTAGGATTTAAAGGTAAGTTTAATCAAAGCCATAAGGACCCTCAGTTTCACTAATCTGCAGTCATGTTTGACACGTCCATTTTATTGTGAGGAGGCTCTTCCTCGGCTGCCTGGCCCCCTTGTGGCAGCTCTACCGTCCCTGCAGAGTCTGCTGGGACACTCAGGGACACTTTGCAGCCTACCCACCCCAGCAAGGCCTCCAAGACCCCGGCGTCTTCCAGGTTTAGCTAGGTTTTCCGCCCGCTTCATCTGGCATTGCGGTGGACAAGGGACTGGAAGGGCTATTCTGTGGGCGGTGGCTCCGAGCCTCTGCACCCCTCATCCATGCCCAGTGTAGGTCCTTGCTCCTATGTCGAGATATTCTCCCCAGGGACTCTCTAAATTGATCTCTAAATTGAGCATCAGGAAGCAGATGGCCCTCCCAAATGTTGATAAAGTTTAGGAGGGTTTATTTACAAAGGTCTACCTACAAAGGCAGGACTGGGGCGCTACGGGGATAGTGCAAGAACCAGGGTAAGAGCACAGAGCTATCCCCGTCCGGGGCCAAAAGGCTGAAGACCAGGGTTATCAAAGCCCAGGAGAGAAAGATTGAAGAGAGCGTTGACCTTCAGAAGAGGGACGCAGGCAACTCAAGGCAGCCTCGGGGAAGGAGTCAGGGTTAGCCATGCCCCGTGTCGTCCTCCTGTCAGTCGCCTGCGGGATTCCCGTTGACCACACCCTCCTGGGAACCAGGGGGCAGAGGTGCTGGTCCCTTTAATCCATGGAAGCTCAGCCTCCCAGAGCAGAGAGCAGGGCGAGGAAAGGTGATGAGA